CCCCCCCCCCCCAATATCGTTCTGGCTACGGCACTGTCTCAACATCACTTTGTTTTAGCTTTATTTTGTAGTTTATACAGTTAGCAACCTTTTTAAACTTATCTGGCGATTGAGAAACACGAACTAATAGTTAAATATCAATTTAAATACAATTATATCATTGACATTGATGCTGTAAAATTGACGCCATATTTATACAGCATTATAAGCAAAACGTACTGAACTTCAGACATCATTTTCCCCTTGGCGTACCATCCAAAATCTGTTCATTTTAGCATTATTTTACAGATAAAGCACTGAACATTTACATACTTCTTAAGTTTGTAATGTTTGCCGCTTGAGAAACGCATCAAAAAATTTGAATATACATAAATTAAGTGGAAAAGTATATTCATTAGTTTTGAGCATAGAATAAAGATCCATATAGCCTTGCCACTTACGTCGGAAGCTTTGAAACCTCGCGCATGTCGCATTACGCATGTTGGCCGCCATTTTCCTAGTCAATGACATTTTCTGTCCAATAAACACGCGGTACTGGCTGGCTGCTCCGCCTTCTGGTCAGTAAACTGCATATTTTTGCTTAAAAAAACGAGGACACCGTTGACACTTCTGTTACTGATCTTTATTCTGTGGTTTTGAGCGCGTGTTACGTAACATACAAAATATTCTAGCTCCTCTTAATTGTTCACTTTGCATGCATGGTTTTATATTTTGCGATATATTTTTTGTTACCTTCTGTAACTATGTATTTCACCCCGATATTTTGTGGTCGTATGGTTTTTTTCTGCCCCTCCCTCCCCTCACTTTTCTAATAGTCTCCGTCTGTTAATTTTTTAAATCGTATTTAGGACGAAGTATATTGCTCGTGCACAATTTCTGCATGAACGTAATCTTACATGGTATACGTAAAAGTTTATTGGCCAGCATAAGCTAGCGTACTAAAAGTTTATTGGCCAGCATTCATGTGTGCGGAGGGGGGCAGAGTCCGTCTGCATTCATGTGTGACTTTCATGTCATTTAGTATATCTCTGAAGATTTTCAATACGGCATGTACAATATAACCAGGGTGATAAGGCTAGGCTACTAAGGCAACCAATCAGCTGTCGACATCCACGATGTACCCATGCGAACCAACTTTTATTATCATCGATTAAAAATATTAAAATATTTTTAATTGAATTTAGGACGAAGTATATTGCTCATGCACAATTTCTGCCGTTTGGACATCACTCCAGTGTTACATATTGATCTCAGCACTGCAGATCGTGTGGTGTCCAGTCTTCGACAACCTGCGCGCGACATTGCTGCGTCTCTCACTCCAGTATCGCATATTGAGATCTCACTCTAGCTGCACCTGAATGTATATCGCTCCAGTGTTGTATTTTGAGCTCAACGCTTCAAGTAGAATATATCACTTCAGTGTCACATATTAAGATCAACGCTTCAAACCGTGCTCACTTGCGTAATCAATGTATGGTGCCCAGTTTCCGACAATCTCTGCGCGGCATTGCTATGTAGCTTCACCTCTTCTCGGGCATTACACCTGCGATTGTAAGGCACACAGCATCCACGAGCCACGGCACCACTCGTGCAACAAGTCATGCTCAATGCCTGACAAAAATCCTTCTTTAGAAAGCTATACAAAAGAGGATTCAAAAGCGATGTCAGGAATCTCAGCACGTTATTGGCCTGCCACAGCTTGTCTGGTACATATATTTGCATGTCTAACTCATCTATGATACTCAATGCAAAATAAGGACCCCAACATATCACAAAAATGGCCAACATTAAGGCAAAGATTATCGCCACTCTGGCTTCCTTCCGGGACGCCGTATTTGACTCTGTGGGATTCTGTGCCCCAGATCTGACTCTTGTTAATAGCATTTCTTGTCTGCGAATGTGGAGTTTGGCGACCAAAAACATTGACACAAATGCAAAAATCAATAAAACCATTGGAATAATAAGAAATACGATAAGCGTAGTTACAGTATAAAATAGCCATTGTTTTGCCTCGTCATTATCCGAACAATTAGCCGGGTCTGTCCAAATGAAAGGGACCAATGCAACTGCCAAGCTTATACACCATATAGCGGCCAAAATCATCTTAAATCGAACATGTTTAGCGCTTAATCTTTCATGAAGGAACGGGTAGACTATGAACAAGAATCTTTCATATGTGACGGTTAGCAAATGAAGGATCGTTGAAATTGATATAAATTTGGTAAATAGGTAGGACACGGTGCAGAATATGCATCCAGTCTTCGGCACAATTGCTATTGAACACAACAACGCTATCGGGAGACCAAGTAACCCTGTGCTTAAATCTGAACAAGCCAAACTTACGAGTAGATAATTCTGCCATTTATGAAGAGTCCGCTTTCGCCATACAGCTATGATCACACAAGCGTTGACAGCGATTATCAAAACGGCCAATATGATATAATGAATTTCTTTGAGCAAAAATTTCCCATCTTTCCAGCCTGTCTGAATTTGAGAGGTGTTGTTGTTAGTAATGTTAGACATTTTGTGTCCGATCAGCCCCATACAAATTACGCTCTCCTTTTCATTTTAGTAAAATATTTGTATGCTTTAATTATACACACGTCAAATTTGTCAGCGTTTTAAAATGAAGAAATAATTATTTTTCCCCTAATGAATTTCCGATGCTATGGTGGCCAAACATGGCAGGCAAATATGATCAGCATGATGTCTCTTGATTATGAACGCTCTTGAAATGTAAATACCGTATCCGGTTACCACTTTTATAGGAGCTGAAGCGATGCGAACACTTTCTCAGACTCACTAGACTCGAAAGTGAATCAGTGGTGATTTGTTTTGATTGCTTATCGGTTGGATATCTCGGTGTTATTGCTGTTACGGTTTCCCATATACCCGCCATGCCGATTATTACTCGCCCCATTTGGGAATTATCGCTTTGCTTCTGTATATGTAACCGATAAGACAAGCGTTGATAAGAACCGTCCTTAACAATGTGTTGACATTACTTAATAGGCAAAAGTTTTGTGAGAAAGCTGTGAATTGTTAGGGATTCAATTATATGAAAAATACAAGCAAAGACTATGTGTTATTACACACTTAGTGGTCTTTAGGGCACAGATAGGCTAGATAGCCGTAGCGACGTGAAAAAAACAACTATTCTTACATTTTAGGAACTCTATTTTCAGAGAATTATTGCAACAGAGAAATGTTGTTTCGCTAAGCTTCTGAAAATTGTACATTCCGTATCGGATAAGTATCTTTTCGTACCCCTACGGGGAGCTATCCGGTATAGTGACTGTGTAAACACGGCCTATAATAATATCACAAACGTTTTTTGAGCCAATAGTCTTTGGCAATCGTTTTTTATAACACTTGAACTGCTTATGAACATGTCTATTATATTGCACAAAAAAGTTTAAAATTCGCATGAATGTCAAATGAAGATCAGGCAACCGTCCAACGTGCTACGGTCTGATTGCACGTGTATTTTGGTTAGCCGATCTTTTTATCCGCACATTAATCTCAGATTATATCTTCATCTGTGGATTTCCTACGCTTTTTTCCCAAAAATATAAAAGCAGTTCAAGTATGCGTAAGATTTGTCAAGGAATATTGGCTAAACTTTTGGATATTAAACAATATCAATGCAAATGCCAACGAATGTCCTATATACGGCTACGACCTACACTATTGGCGTTCATGAGTAATTTCAGGTGAATTCTAGGCGGGTTAAAGTGGTAACTGGTACTACTAAGAATGCAATTGAAGAATGTCAAATTTCAGTTACATTTTCTGCGGGCTTTTTGACGGTCTAAATATTCATGTAGTGTAACTGATTAAGCCCCATATCTCATTGTGCTAAATTATTCCTTTCGAAAAAAACACCTGCTATTTAATGACCTCTAATGTTCACGAAAAAACCAATTTCAAACGCTTCCTTTAGGCAACTCACATAACGGTAATTTAAAACTTAGCCATCAACCGCTATCTCCCTGTACACGTGTAATTTTTTAATTGTATTTATCGCCATGTGCACCTGCAAAAACATTAATCAGTCTGTTTATTTACCTGCAAAAAATGCCTGCAAAAATTAATCCGGAAGATGAAAATGCCTGCAAAAAAATTAGTCTGCGTATAAACTACCGGTACTTAATTATAGTCAGTTTACATGAGTGAAAAAAATTCGACTATACACGTAAAAAAACTATAACATTTGAGTCCTTTACTTGCGGCGTTTTGAACCGTTTTGTTTAAAGGAGGGGGAGAATACTCGCTGAGATATTTACATGATAAACAATTGAATCGTAAAATATCAAATTGGGACCTGTCAGTAAAGAGTTTTAAGCTTAGTGTGTTGGGGGTCGGTCGTTCCGCAAACCGTCGTATTTTTTGGTAATCGTTCCATGTTTCGCGCACCAATATAGTAAACGTTATGTAATGGATATTATAGTGTATTGAAAAGTTTACTAGATACCTCCATACACATATATACACACCCTAAACCTAACCCCTAACCTTAACCCTAATATCTAACCCTAACCTATATTGGTGCGCGAAACATGGAATGATAACCTATTTTTTCTCCTAATTCACTGTTACCCACCAGTATACAGTTTCTTCGTGAAACCGTAACCGTCATGAACGTATCTTATATGGTATACGTAAAAGTTTAGTTGGCCAGCATAAGCTAGCGTACTAAAAGTTTATTGGCCAACATTCATGTGTGTGAGGGGGGCAGAGTCCTTCTGCATTCATGTGTGACTTGGATGTCATTTGGTATATCTCTGAAGATTTTCAATACGGCATGTACAGTATAACCAGGGTGATAAGGCCAGGCTACTAAGGCAACCAATCAGCTGTCGACATCCACGATGTACGCATGCGAACCAACTTTTTTACGCAAAAGTATTTTGGCGCGAGCAAAACCCTTCAAATCTCACAGAAACAAATGGCTAAAAAAGTTCTGAAATCCTCGAGCAAACACGATAAGCTTAGCAATGTCAACAGAACGCTTGGGAACAATATGAAATCGACTAAATCAAAGCGTAGCGAAAATGTTGTTAATTCGAAGGAACTAAATTGTGTTGCCATCTTGGTGCAGTGTAGACTGTAGAATTTACATATTTCACCGTCGTTTTCACATATTTGGATTAAATACGTTAAAAATTAGCTACTTTGGGGATTTGGTGTCACCGATATACATGATCACGCCTGACTTTTCGGGACGACATGTCCGAAATAAACCTGCATTTGACCAAAGTGACCATCAAACTACCCAAACAAAGCAACCAGTACCTCGGACGCCAGAGAGCAAAAGGCATAATAGAAGCAGACAAAAAGGCCATATTTTGATAGAAAAACATGGCTACGAAAGACATGCATCAGGGGAAAAGTCTCCACACGCGAGGAGACGTGAGATTCACAAGAATTTACATAGTCAAACTCCTTCGTCTTCACCGACGAAACAACATTTTGAGTTGGCCCAGGAACTGCATAATGTCAGTGGAAACTTAGGTTTGTGTTATGAGGAATTGAAAAGTCGTTATATGAGAGAAATTGCGAAGGATGTTGGGCTGAATACTGTGGATTCAGGTATGTTTCTTGGGCATTTTAATACTCAAATATTAACGTAGAAAACTTATTGATAAAGCTCTATAAATAGCATCCTAATAATTTTATTATTACTGTATATATTAACATTTAATAACGTAGAAAACTTATTAATAAAGTTCTAATAGCATTCTAATAATTTTATTATTATTACTGTATAATATTAACTTCATTAACTATTTTAACAATTTTATTAACTATATTGTTTAAATTATCGATGAATTACTGTTTATCCCCAAACTCCCATGCAACATTATGTCAGATCATTCGCTTAATTTAATCAACAACTGGACTCTGTAGCTCAGTTGGTTAGAGCGCTGCACCAGAATCACAGGGCCACAGGTTCGATTCCTGCCGAGAGGACCAAAAGTTGCAACTGCTCCTAGTTAGATGAGGGTCTTAATGGGGGTCTTTCGGTCTAAAATTTAAGCCAGTTGTCAGTGCGATATATTGCAAGCTGTCAGTAGTCAGTTACTGCAAAAAAGCTGACTCATCATTTTTTCATCATTTCTCAGTTGTCAGTTAGGATATTTTGTCAGTTGTCAGTCAAAAATTCAGGCAAATGTCAGTAGTCAGTTAACCCCATTCAGACCTTCTTAGATCTACTAAATGTATAAAATTTAGACTCAAAATCCCTATAGCTTCAACAATTATAATTCTATATATCGAGAGGGATGGCCAAAATCTGTTTACCTGTTATAACAATCCTGTCCGGACCAAAATCAATTATGGTAGGTCAATTTACTTATCATAGGAAAGCTGCTGGCATTGAAAGACTTGTTTCAACAATTGATGAATGAAATGGTTCACCTCAAAAGAATTCTATCTCACTACAATATCACTAATGGTGGTCAAGATGATAATCTTGAAAAACCTCTGAGAAATCAAGGTATATAAACTATCACAGGAAAGAGTTTATTGAGAATGTGTTTAGGAGGGGCGGGGGGGACCCCAAGAATTATTTTTATTTGTTTAATGATCTCTGAGAATCTTAAAATACATGACCTTGCACCTACCTCCACCTACCTATTGCCTTGGTTGATGGTTGCACCCACCTCGGCTCATCAACCCTCGCTTGTCAACCCCCTACTAGATCATAAGGTGCTGCAGAATTATAACAATGAAATAGTTATTTCATTTACAGCTATAGATTGTACTGGTTGGTCTTATACATTTGTTTGCTACATACAGTTTCAGATATTCCTGGTCCAAATGATTTAGTTCATCTGAAAGGACCAATAACAGAAAATACAATCACCACAACACTCCAAGCAAGATTTAATGCAAATTGTTGCCATGTAAGTTAACATGTTAAACTCTCTGACTGCTTATTCTTGTGCGAATACTTGTATGTAGCCTGATTACCCCACCTTCTACTTTTCTTTTTGCTACCCCTTGCTACTTTTCTTTTCATTTCATTTCCTTCCCCATTTCTTTAAGTAGACCATTTGCCCCCACTCCTTTTCCATTCTCCCCCCTCTTTCCCTTCCTTCCCCCTCTCCCCTTTCCCTTCTTTCCTCCCCTTCCTCTTTCCCTTCTTTCCCCCTCCTGTTTTCCTTCTTTCCTCCCCCTCCTCTTTTCCTTCTTTCCTCCCCCTTCTTCATTTCATTCCCTTTCTCTTCTTTCGTCCCTCCCCGCTTCATTTTCCTCCCCCCTCCTCTTTCCCTTCTTTCTTCCCCACTCCTTATTCCCTTTCCCTTCTTTCCTCCCCCCTCCTCATTCCCTTTTCTGATCATTCCCCCCACCTCTCATTCCACCATTACCTAATACCCCTTCTCCATCTTTTTGCTTCCCAACTTTTTCACCCTCCCCCAAAGGTTCTCTATTGATAAACCCTCATAAACTGTTCTTTGCCATCTAGACAAAAATTGGTCCAGTCCATTTGATCATAAACGCATTCAATTTCTCTGAATTTAAAGATGACACAAATCCCCAGTATCTAAAATTGATTGTCACCAAATCACTTGAAAAACTGTTCGAAACGCAAATACCACAAATGTTAATTCTAAGGTTGGTTTAGTGGCTACACAGTAAAAACGCACAAGTTGTTACAGGTCTGCAAACAAGTTGTTACAAATCTGTTCACAAGCTGTCGACAAGTTGTGTTCGCACTGCTTGTTCCTAGTTGTTGTAACAAGTTTGGAACAAGCTGTTAACAACTTGGAACAAGCTTGATGGCATTATCAGACTTGTTGACACAGTCATAATAAACAAGAATGTTACAAGGTTGATGACACAAGGTTGTAACAATATTGTTATCATCATGACTGTATCGGACTTGTTGGAACAACCTTGCAACAAGTCTGATATTATCAACAATGTTGTTACAAGTACTTAACAGCTTGTTGCAAACTTGTTGACAACTTGGTCTTGGGACAAGCAGTGCTTGTTGGCAGACTTGCTACAAGATGCGAGATTTTTGCGTGTGTATATACTTGAGTTCAAAATTTACTTACTATCATTTAAACCTATCATTTGGACTTCACGTTTGACTTTCCAGTGGCGAAAGTGGGAGTGGCAAGTCATATACAACGCAATTATTAATCAAAGAATTGATGCATTTGTCGTGTGGACCATCTCAAACAGATGTGGTGAAGGTATTGTTTGTTTTAGAGTCAAATCTGATAGCGTCGTTCCTATTCTACAATACGCTGCCATGAAACGACCTGGAAAAGATATCTTAGGGTTTATATGATCCCGCTTAAGCGAGATTCAATGAAGTGTGAATTATTTTGAGCAATTGAAATACGTTTTTCAGCCATAAACAAAAGTTAGATAACTTAATAATATTGTTGAAACGAAATTAGGAACGCGCTAGAAGTTATGTAGTGGAAGAAGACGATTAATAGCATTCAACAACATTTGTTTTTTGTCTAAAACATGGAATTTCATACAATTTGTAACAAGCAATTTTGTTAGATCATGAAATGCGACTTATTTCAATTGCTCAATATACTTCACACTTCATTGAATCCCGGGTAAGCGGGACCATATAAACAACCCCAGCTTAAACGTGGTGATCCAGCCTCGGATCTGTCTATGCTTTGTAAATAATATATTGTTTTCTCTTTTTCAGCAGTTGGATGCCTCGGTAACAGTGCTAAATAGTTTTGGGAAAGCAAGAACAGTGACCGGCCCAGAGTCATCTAAAGTGGTTTGTACTTATCCTCAAGGGTGGGGTGACTACAAAATTTTTGTAGTTCGCTATAACTACAGCTACTTCAAAAATATGTAGTCAGCTACAACTACTGCTACTTTTGAACAAAGGTAGTTCGCTACTGACTACAGCTACTGCTTAAAAAATGTAGCGAACTATTACGCTATATTTTTTAGTTTTACTGTATTTGGAGCATCTACTAACTCAGGTTGAAATGTAACCTATAACAAATCGACTTACGAGTAAGTAAATACAAAGCAATATGTTTGTAATAACTACAGTGTTCAAGAGTGTAAATTGACTATTGAGTATTGATTTTAAGCAAACCGTGTCTCAATATCATGCTATTCTATCAAGTTGCTAACATTTTTAAAAAGTAGCGAATAGCGATTTGCTGTTTGAAAAGTAGTCAACTACTTGGCTACTTTTAGGCAAAATGTAGTTCGCTATAACTACAGCTACTGTTTTAAAAAAGTAGTCAAAAACTACTGGCTACTTGAAAATTGTAGTTCGCTACAGTAGCGAACTACAACTACTTCGCTACTACCCACCCTTGCTTATACTGTATATAATTTCCGATGACTGCCGGAAATGATTTTTTTTACTCATCCGGAGGAAATTGTTAACAAAATATTTTCACAGGAAATACTGCAGGAACTTTTTGTCATCCTATATACTGGGATGCCATATAATTTACTTATTGTTTACAAAAGCGTTTTGCAAGTCGATAATGTCTTGTGCTGAGATTGACGTTATCTCGACGTACGTTGCCTTATGTTCTCAGAAATCTACATATGCAGGAAATTTTATATTTGACTTACACAGGAAATTTTTATTTTTGGATTTTGCTGTCAGGAAATGAAATATATTTTCTGGACATGTACTCGTCAATGATTCCCTCATTGACGAGTAAAAGCGTCTGACGTTAAGTTTAATAGCATACCCTGACGTGTAGATTGGGCGAGAAGAATAATTTTATTGACAAATATTTGATAAAGTCGATTTGTTTAAATTTTATATTTTTACAGGCCATTTTGTATGAATTTTATTTTAACAACCAAGTTGTCCATAAAACGAACATCAGATGCATTCCGCTTAGCATGGTAGGTTTTTAATTGATTTTAAAATATCTTATAAATAAAAATAATATCTTATAAATAAAAATAATATCTTATAAATTCTCATTTTGAAATATTCTTTCAAGCAGTCCAGAATTATTCAGCCCAGAGAAGATGAAAGTAATTTTCGGATATTTTATCAACTTTTTGCTGGGCTCAGTCCTAAAGAAAGAGGTATTATTCCACTGTTTTAGCTTTGTGCCCTTATCATTTGCTCATTTCATTTTCAAAAATATTGTTGCAGCCAAACTACAACTACAAACACACAGTGCTCACGAGTTGCGATATTTGTACAATTATCCTTCTCAAGACCAATCTGAAATTGAACTTCTTCGGAAACAATTTCAATCGTGGAAGGTTTGTGAATAACATTTTCACTGCAGTCTTTTTTAGTGTTGTGTGGTATGGTATGTTGTAGTGTGGTATGGTGTAATTATAGTGTAATTGTGTAATATTGTAGGGTATGGTATGCCATGGTATGGTATGATAAGGTGCAGTATGGTATGGGATGGGATGGTATAGTGTGGTATGGTATTGTGGTCAGATGGTGTATGGTATGTGAATATCATTTGGGTGAATAACTGTCTTTTTTAGTGTTGTGTGGTATGGTATGGTATGTTGTAATGTGGTATGGTATAATCATGGTATAATGGTGTAATATTGTAGGATAAGGTATGCCATGGTATGATAGGTGCAGTATGGTATGGGATGGTATAGTGTGGTATGGTATTGTTGTCAGATGGTATATGGTATGGTATGATGTGGTATGGTGTGGTCAAATGATGTGGTATGATATAGTATGGTGCGGAGTGGTATAGTATGCTCAGGTGTGGTCATGTGAAAGTCACGATCTTATATTACCATACAATGTTTCAGTCAGCTCTACAGATCCTTGGTATTCCCTTTACCGACGTTACCAAAGTACTCGCGGCCATCTTACTTCTTGGAAATGTACAGTTCACAGAAAAATCACCACGAGTCTTAGAAGTACAAGGCGGAGATTTCGGTTTGTATTCTAATCAGTTGTCTTTCTTCCCACTCCGTTCAAAACCGACCTAGTCACGTGGGAAGGCGTGATCAGCGAGCGTCCCTTGCTAGGTCGTTTGTTGCCCTTAATTCATAATAACACTGGCCTACCACGTTTGACATGTTTCATATCGCTCCATTTTTCTAGAGCTGAAGGCGGTGGCTATACTACTCGGTGTGCCATACATTTCTCTGTTTCGTGGTCTCACTAAGAAACTTAAAGTTATGAAAAGTGATGCGACTATACAGTCGTGTTCCGCAACTCAGGTATGGTATGGTATGGTGTATGGTATGATGACGTGTGGAATGGTATGGTAATGAGGTGTGGTATGGTATGGTGTGGTATGGTATGGTATGGTGAGGTATGGTATGGTATGATGAGGTATGGTATGGTATGGTATGGTATGATGAGGTATGGTATGGTATGGTATGGTATGATGAGGTATGGTATGGTATGATGAGGTATGGTATGGTATGGTATGGTATGGTATGGTATGATGCATGAGGTATGGTATGATAAGGTATAGTACGGTATGAGATGTGGAATGGTATGGTTGGGTAGGATAGGATAAGGGTCGAGGTATGGTGAGGTATAATTAGGTACTGTATGTTTTGGTGTGGTATGATGTGGCACGGTGAG